GTTAGTTCGTCTTAGGGGCCGGTATAAACGGATTCTTATTATTAGCGGGTAGTGGCTATTAAGTGACCGAAGTCGTACTACGTGTCTTATCCGTATAGCTTTAAGGAGTAGGTAGGCCGGTAGGGTGCTTAATTCCCTGAGTATAATAGGGATAGGGGTAGTCTTCTAGACTAGGAGGTAGCCCCTTAAGGAGAGGTTAATCGCGACCTAGATCTTAGAGACTTAGTCCTATAGTCCGGCCTATACCCTAGGCTAGTCGCCGTTCTTCTGTTTTACAGCAGAGCGGGTATTATTAGGGTACTAGACCTCGGCGCCGAAGAAGGCTTTAGGGAGGATAATCGTATAGGTGGCTTTTCTTATAGCGGAGGGTGGTGCCCCGCTAGTGACTCTATTAAGTCCACGGATATACCTAGTGGCCGATTATGCCTTAGCTGCCCGGGTTTCGATATAGGATTTAAACGAGAGGGTCCTATTAAGCTAGACTCCGAGCTAGTATATAGAATAGCTCGGGGTAATCTATTAGTCGGCGTGCGCGATATAGGGGTTCGGGGACTCCCTACGCCTCGTAAAGTGTATTACTTCTGTTTTCCCTGGGTTAAAGGTAATAGCGTTTTAGTGCCCCTATTCGATAGTACGGTCTAATAGGGTCTAGGCCCTTTCGGTTATTTTAGTTAGGTTATTACCGATATAGAGTTTCCGTAGTTATCTGTATACCCGAAGCGTGTCTATAGGGTGCTAATCCGGTAAATCGGTTTAGTGTAGAGTAAACAAAGGTTAGGGGATACTAGGGATCCTTATAGCAGGCCGTATTAAAGCGGGGTTATTTTCGTGGTATAACCCTTATAGCGGATCTAAGCCCTCCTATTACCTATAAAGCTATAGACCTAAAAGACTAGGTTAGTTACCTATCCCTATTCTCTAAGTCTATAGTAAAGGCGGTTTCTTAGGACGGTATCGAAGGCTCCCTCGATATCTATTATAATAAGGGTAACGACTTATTTTCGGCTAAGGGCTACCTCTACGTTATATATAAGGGCAGCCACGATATCGGTAGAGGAACGCTTTAGCAGGGCACCTACCGTCTAGGGGTTAAGGACCCTATTAGCCACGCTAGCCTAGGCTAGCCTTTATAGGACTAGCCGTTTAAGGCCTTTCCTAAGGTATAAGAGGAGTGAAATCGGGCGCTATCCTTTATATATACTACCGTCTTAGTTAGGTTTAGGGATTATAACGACCTCTGCTTCCCGGAAGGGGCGGGGGTAATGGCCGAGAGAGATATAGGCGCGGTATAGGTTAGTGGTATATATCTAGATAATAGGCTACGCCGCTTAAAGTATAGTAACGGTGATTTCGTCCGCTCCTAGTAAGGTGTTCCTAACTAGAAGGACCGCCCTTCTAACCTCCTCGTGGTGGACTTCGTCCTCCTAGGGAATTATCTATTTCGCGTAGGTCAGGGTTAGAAAAGGGAAGTCGTCGGCTATCGTGGACCTCTTTAGTAGTCTCCTACGGAGAGAGTCTACCTTCTTACTAGGTGCGGTGACTATTCTATTACTATCCTAGAGGGGGGGGGGGATTATAGCTAGGTACGGGGGGTATACTAGCCTATAACGCGGTATAGGTCCTTATTAGTCTATATGCCTTAAATCTGGTTATACTAGTAGCTGGCCTTAGCTTTACGGATAGTGGCCCTAAGGTAGTCGCGGGCCTCGGAGGTGCGGAAGGATTCGGGGTTAATACGGCGGTAGTAATAGAAGGACCTCCGTGCTTCGGCGTAGGAGTCGGACTACCACGATACCGCTTTAGAGGTTAGTCGGCTTCGCTAACCGACTATTTTAAGGGAGGTCTAAAGTAGGACTATAAGTCCTTAGGCTACCCGATCCAGGTCTTTAGTCGTGTCGAAGGCTATAGGGAGGAGCCACGCGTTCTATTATACCTCCTCGGCGAATCGTAAGATATTATATAGGGGTAGTCTATACCTATCTAGGGTAGGCGGGCGGAAGGGATAGGGGATCTACGTTATAATAGTATAGTAGTTAGATCTAGTATATAGGTAGTCTATAACCTACGAGGAGGTAAGGGGAATATTTAAGAAAACTAGGTCGAGGGTATTTCCGGCGTTATATATCGGAACGCCTAGTATATTAAGGAGGGCGAGGGCGTGGCGTTCTACCTAGTTAGCGAGCCGTGCGGCTCCGCGGTTCACGGAGGCGCCGGGTTACTATATCGGGTAATAGGCATTAAAGTCTCCCGCGATAAGCGTATTAGTAGGGGGTTCCTAGTCTTTTAGGAGTTATAGAACGTGAAGCTTATCTTAGTCTCTATAGATATTAATAATATATAGCGAGTTAAATTTTAGGTAGAGGATATCCCGGTAGGGGGTATTATTTATATTATAGGCTTCTAGCGTGATAGTGCCTTTCTTAACATAGATAAGGACTCTAGGGCGGGTAGAGGTCGAGTCCTAGGACTATATAGGGGAGATGCAGTGGTATCCTAGGTATGTTTTTATAGTATTAGGGGGCTTAATCAGGGAGCACTAAGGCTCTTATATAAGGATAATATCGGCTCCGTCGGAGTATATAAAGTTAAGGGCGATATCGTGAGTAGGGCCGCCTTTACCCACGTTCGCCTAGAATATCTTAAGGTTTCTAGGTATCCTAGGCGTTTTAGTTAGGTCTTAGGGGAAAGTCCCTATCACCCCCCTACTTAGGGGAGGTAGCGGTTTAGTTAAAAGGCGTGGGGGTCGTGCCGCCCTTATTAATCAGGAAATTCATAATACAGTTATTAATAGCTATCTCCGTTTATAGGGCCTATTTATCGGTCTAGGGGTATTAGGTCGGGGGGTTCGAGGGCGGGGAGGTAGCCGTGGGGGCCGGAGCTAAGCCCTCCGTGTTAGTCTTTAGAGAAAGGTTATATCGTCGGGTCCTTTCCTTACGGATTACCTTTCTTTATATATATATCGGACGGGTGATCCGGCTCTTAAGGATCTTAGGGCAGGTAGGGCAGCCGTCGTGTATACTATAGTGCGGTCCTTTACAGTTAGCGTACTAGGGGGGGAGGGTATAAGCCGAGTCGTGTTCGGGCCTTCTATACCTCTAGCAGTATTATTATCTATAGTATAATCGGGAGCCGTGCTAGTTAAAGCACTTATCGTATTATATCGGTTATAGTTTCCGGATCGTAAGCCGGGACAGGGTATTATCGAAAATCCTAAAGGGCTTAACGGGGTGGGTAAAGGAGATAAACTAGGTCTATGTATTTATACTAGGCTTCGCAGCCGTGGGATAGTAGCGTAATAGGGTTACCCCGGTGGCTACTTTTACCTCTTCCTGGATTAGGGCCGCGGTGTCGACAAAGCCGTTAAGGGTTCTGATATAGATAGGGACTTAGGGAACTATAAAAGTGGTCTAAACCTTAGATCCCTTGATAGCTATTATATTAAGTAGTATAGATAGCTTAGAGTGGCGAGTAAGTATAGCCGATCGCGCTTTAGTAGTCTTTAGGGTAATCGCGAAACCGGATTAAACCCGAGATATCTTTATAATATCGTCGCCCTTAAGCGAGCAGTATTATATAACTATTCGACGGATAATAGCTAGGTTAGTAGCGTAGTATAGGTTATTATATTATAGTCGGATAAAGATACAGTTATCCTGTATAAGTGCCTATTTAGGAGCCGTAGGTCCCTTTCGTACTATCGGCGGGTTATTCGAAGCTGGCGGACTAGCAGGTAGCGGTTACTTTAGTTATCCGCCGCCTAGGGGATATCCGTCTACTATAATACTAGCGTAGGACTACGGTCCGCGTCGGAGTCGTGGCTTTAGGGGGTTATCGTGTCGACCTCTTAGGATCTATTTAAGGGTATTAGATAATAGCGACGTATAGTGCTAGGTAGCCTCCGGGTAGTCCTTAGCTAGCGTGTTAAGGGTCTATTTAATACTCTTAATAAGGGCTTTTCCTATATAGTGGAAACTGTCCTGTGCCGCCTTAATCGCCGTGAGGCTTTCGGCGATACTTTTTACCGGGTTTATATCCTGTACGGAAATTGGCTTATTTCCCGCGGTGAGTTCTGTGGCCCCTGCGGGCGTGTTGATTAGTGCAGAATTTTTGCCCTGCCTTGGCAGACCAGGGAGATTAAGGGGGGGGGGTATCTCCGCCCGTTTAGCGTTTCCCTAGGGGGAGGGTATAAAAGATTCGGCGGTAGTTCTCTTCTTACTTAGGGATTTAAATAGCGATCCCTTTATCGCGAGGGGGCTTAACGTCGCTATTATATCTATAGCGGGAGGCCGCGGAGCCTGCGGTTATAACGGTATAGGTGTTGAGGGGGTGCGGGCTGCGCGCAGTGTAGCCGGCGGGGGGGCCGGGGCCATCCCTTCGTGTGGGGTGGCGCCTTAGCGTTATTAGCGTTTTTGGTGGGTGATGGTGTGTTGCACTAGTACTCCTAAAAGCGGGGAGGTGTGTAGGAAGGAGAGTTAATATATTTCGGGCGCTTAGGCTTAAGAGGTATAGGTTAAGGGGGGGGGATAAAGGTCTCTTTTTCGAGGACCCTAACCAGCGTAGCTCTATAGGCTCCGGCTATTAATCTAAGGCACCGGTTCTATATCGCTATAAGTGCCGCTACGGGGCTATACTAGGGGCTAGCCCCTATCTTATAAATAGCCGAGGCGTAGTAGGCTATTACTAGTCTTACTACTATAAGGTATAGTCTTTTTATATCCGTAAAGCTA